GATTTCAAAATTTTGAAAGCATTTCAGTCAGTCCAATTTTCATTTTTTTGACTTCGAATAAGTTCACCCAGACTCACATTTTTGTTGCCAGACATTTTGGGCGCTGCTAAATATGTACCAGACGCCAATTTATTTATTAACTAAATGACCCGACAGACGTTGTCCTGTACCCATTTCTGCATTTTTTTTAATATAATATACTAATATTTACCGTTTACTTAAAAATAATAATTATTGTTTTATAAATTACTCTTTACGCCAAAATGCATATACATTTATAATATAAGCGATGTTAAATGTAGAACTGCTTTAAATAAAATGATGAGTCTCAATTCCCACACTATATTGGAAATTGAAGTATTTTAAACGATATAACATAACCATAACCATAACATAACACTGGTACTTCATGTTGGTTTAAATTAATTTAATTTTTCGTTATTTAAGATATCCAAAATTGCATCTTAAACGTTTCCTAATCGATATCGTGAGGGCCGAATTGTATGTATTCATCTTTACTTTTCCATTTGTTGTTATAAAGTGAAATTTTTACGAATTTTAAACATAATGTGGAAAGATTAGTAAAAAAATGCAAAGAAATTATTATTAAAAAAAAAAACTATATTGAAAATTTAATATCCGAATCTTGTGTTGTCGCCCCCTAAGGCGTGCGCTCGTGTTTTTCGCATGCATCGCAATAAAGGTAGGACCGGCCCTGATTAATACTTAATTTCATATTCTAAGTGAATTAATTTGTCAAAATCTGTTCATATGTGTATCATTCAATCTGCCATACATATACTGTATTTTATATTATTTTAATTTCTGGCACATCTCAGCTGCTTTTTGGCAATAATAATCTTCACATTTCATTTTTTTATTCATAATCATAAATTTATTATACATATTCTAATATTGTCCAGTAAATTGAAACATGTCGAAAAAGCAAACAATGGCATGTCGTTTTTGCATTTTTTTCATTTATTTCTACAATATTGCACATACATTCCAGTACTTTATAATCACATACACCATAAAAAATTTCTTTAACAAACTTAAGAAAGATTTATCAAAATCCGAATAATCGTTTAGGAGGAGTATACAGTGAGTGCTTGTAATTTAATATCAACTTTATATAATAACAATAAAGCTCAAATTGATTCTACATTTTAATTAGAAAACGTTTGTATGAGAAAAAGAAAAGGGCTATTTTTAGGGTTTTCCAGGCAGTTATTCGATTTTGTCTTGCCGTAAGAACCATCCTTGGACTTCAACGAACATTTTAAAAAAAGAATTGGCAAAATTGGTCCAGACATTGTTGAGTTATGCGCTTGCCAACACATTTTGCGATTCATTTTTATATATAAGATCTTTTTTAAAACTCAAATCATTTTAGCCCGTCTGAAATTTTAATATTACGTTCATTAAGGGTCAAAAAACATAAAATTAATTTGCCAGACGTTTCTGCGGTTGTTAACCATGTCTGGAAATCAAAAATATCTGGCAATATGATACTAGTTCATAGCATTTTAGTCAGTCCAATTTCTATTTTTTGACTTTGAATAGATTATCCAGATTCACATTTTTGTTGCCACACATTTTGGGCGCTGTCAAATATGTGCCAGGCGCCAATTTATTTATTAATTTTTTTAAAAATTCAAATCATTTTAGTCCGTCTGAAACTTTAATATTATGTTCATTAAGGGTCAAAAAACATAAAATTAATTTGCCAGACGTTTCTGTGGTTGAAGCATACCGTAACAAAAATTTCAGAAAAATAAAATAAATATTCCCAAAGTTATAGCTGTTTTTGTTGACCTTGTTTCAAAAAACGGTCCTGGCGGTGACCATCATAACTTCTTAGGGATTCATCTAAAATCAATCAAATGAAAATAATAGTTTTATAAATAGATAATCCCGGGCCTGATCGAAGGTTTTCTTTTTTTTGCAAAAATTAACAAAATGGCAGCATCAAAAAAAAATTCTAGATTTTCGGGTAAAAAATCAACAGCTAATTGGTCTTAAAAAATTGAAATTTTTGAAAAAATAAAAATCCTTCGATCAGGCCCGAGTTTATTATGTATTCTAAAAGCTGTATAAATTTCATTAAAATTTAACAAGCGGTTTTTGAGTTACAGTGGTCAACGGTTCAAAAAACATAGTTTTGAAAAAAAAACGCGTTTAAAGTTTCAAATTGGATTTACGTACAGAAATTCAAATTATTGAATTACTTGAACCTAGTCATCTATTTCTGGACTATATAATAGTTCATCAGTCATTGCTAAAGTTTCCAAAATTTCCATTTGCAGTTGCCTACGAAGTACGAAGCATTCTGGCCTCCCGAGTGTTCCCGTTGGCGCGCTGATCTGCCACTTTCACACGTGCAGCATCCAATTTTTCAGCAAACCAATGAGAATTATACCCACAATTAGGTCATAGGATATCCATAATCAATATTAATGATTACGTATATGTATTCAGCAATTTGTACGATAGTAGAACTAGTATTCACGGTTTTTAGGCATATTTTTTACACTAGTTGGTTGAAGCTTTTAATTTTTTCTGATTATGGATTCAATCTTGAACTACACATCTTGAAAGTAAATTATCATTGCTGAGATCATCGTAAATCGGTTTAAAAGCTTTTAAAACATCAGGAGGTGAGGGAGAATAATCCTAAGTATAAGTATAAGTATCGAGCTTTCCACTGGCGTCAACGCGCTGGTAAGAGTCCAATAACTCAAAAAGTAATCATCGGATCAACTTGAAATTTTCAGAGAGCATTTTCAAGATATTACACTTAATGAAAATGCAAAAAAATAAAAATCGATTTTTCAAAAATTCCAAGTACCCCTAACCCCTTAAGGATAAGATTAGACTAACTGCAAAACTGCATACAAATCTATTTGCAGTATAAGTTCAATGCAGTTGAGCTGCACTATAGATGTCATACAAATTTAGCTGATGGTGCCTGTAGCTTATGATTCATTATGCATCCGATAAAATAATAGGGCGAAATAAATTGAAAGTATTATAATTATAATATATATATCTATATATATAAAAGAGGATCGCCTTATGTGCTACCACTTATAACTCACGAACGGCTGAACCGATTTAGATGAAAATTGGCAGGGAGGTAGTTTAGGGCCAGGAGAAGGACTTAGGATACTTTTTATCCCTTTATTTCATTCTAATTCAAAATTAATTATTAATAAACAATCCATGTAGTTTATTCAATCTATGATACTATCAATGATTTCATCCATGACATTTACATTCGATTGTCAACTGTCATTCGGTGTTTCTGTTTTGATACAAATATATTGATATGCATTTCTTAATGACCATTATTTGAAAATTATTACGTGAATAATATAAATATTTTAATCGCCACGGAAAATTAATGCAAAGTGGCAAATAAATTAATTCTTAATAATACCAAGCGATGCTAGATGGACGATGGGGAAATTTATTTCTTGAAAATGGAAATGTAATTATTTATATAATTAGGTATTTATGTATATTTGTTTATACGTATTTAAATAGAGTATTTGAGGTGTTTATATTATATATCAGCAATAAGTATAATCATCAACAAATTAATAAAAAAAATATTCTGAAATATAGTTTCTTGACATAACCTCAAAATTTGTAATAAAAATGTAAATAGTTATACATTAATTGTTGTTAATTTGTAATTTCTTTATACATATCTTATAAAATGTTTCAGGTGTTTACAACTAATTGGCATATATATATTATCAGCAAATGTGCTTTGATTCGACAATAAAAAGGTCTAATTGAAGTAATCGACTACCTTAAGATAACTATAGTGATAGAATATTAGTTTTTGGTTCTCATATATTATAACCCAGCTATAAACCTCACGGAGCCCCAGACCTTTCCAGCGAATGCAAAATTGTCGAATTCGGTTTGTGCATTCTGGAGATATATCGTCAGAACTTATAACTCAAGAAGGCTGAACCGATTTAACTGAAAATTGGCTTTGGTAAAGTTGGTAAAAGTTGGTTCAGAGCCAGGAGAAGGACATAGGATACCTTTTATCCTGTTCGACTTGGAATAACAATAAGCAAATGACAGCTATGTAATCACGCATGGATGACAATTCAATATTTGTAAGGAATTAATAATAAAATTATTTATTTTAAATAAATAATTAACAATTATAATATAATGATAGTGCCATTGCCCATTCGTATAAACAGTGAAGTGAACTATGTTTAACTCAGTATGGTTGACAAATCATATTTTTCTCAAACACAATGCTCTGAAAGAACTTATTTGTATAATTATGTACTCATTGGTATTTATAAAACCTTTTCTAGATTATTCAGATTTAGAACCTAAATTTGGAATTGATCAAAGGAACATTTTGTCGAATAGCTTATTTCCAGTTATAATTTTCTGAATTTATTCAAGAATGGATAGTAATATATGAAGATCCACGACCGAAGTGTCAAAAACCAGTAAAGCTAAGCATTGTTTAACAGCAGTATTTGAATGTAAAGGGAAAAATAAATAGCAGTATTTGAATGTAAAGCTCAATAGTATTATTTACAATTATACACAAAATCCAGAATCCAAAAAAATTTTCAAAAAATTTGAAACGCATTCATTAATCGATTAAATGGAATTTGTAATGACTATATAAGTCGAAAGACCAACAAAGACTTGGATTGAATTATGCCATGTTTTCTATAGAAAGTGTATAAAACTTTCAGTTTGGTTGTATTAATAAAATATATACAAACTAATGGGGTTTATTGTTTCTATAATATCTCATTGTATATAGCAATTCAAACAACACATCCTTACACAAAAAGTATTATTTTTTTAGATACTCTAGAAATTGTTTATAAAATAACTTACTTAGCAAAACAACGTTTGCCGGGTCAGCTAGTATATATATATATATTTATATATATACATATATATATATATATATATATATATATAAATTAAATCTACCACAATACCATATTAAACATTCGGCATCCCTTCTGCCGAGTCCAGTGTCCTCCATCGCGTCACTTGACAGCACCAACTCGCCACCACAACTTTTATTTCACATTTACATTTCACCACTGCACATAACTAATTATTGTCACTATCATCAATCTAATTAATCACCGTATAACATTGCGTAATATTAGCACAAACCGACGCCCAAAGTGCCAACTATAGTTACTTCCTAGGTGAAGAGACTTCAACAACCGACTGAAGAGTTACCACTAGCCAAATCCCGGCAGTGTGTTGCCAGGTGATGAATTTAACTAAGTTTAAGTTGCAAAGAGTGTTGTCGGTGTTTAATATATTATTAATTTGAAAAGCGTTGAGTCTTATTAATATTTTCTTAATTAAATAATATGAGAATAAGCATTATATAAGTGTATGTATGAAAATTAGTATTATATATATTTAAAAACTATTTAACCAAATATTAGTAAACACATTACCTATAAGTATAATATCGCACTATCAACTTAATTTATTAAAATTTATTATAAACTAATAACAAATATAAAGCATTACACCTAAGTCTGTTTTTACACGGTAGATTGTGTAAAAAAAGACATCTTATACAAAAATGGGTGATTTGTTCCTAATCTCTGAAACATATTAAAATTAGTGAAAAACAAGAATTTTTAAGAACAAGAATTCATGTTTATTTTATTAAATCAAATATAATAAAAAAAAATCAAAGTAAAAATTGTTTGTACGCGCTAAAGAGGAATTCACTTAAATGTTTAAGCTAGTGTTCGCAAACTATCGATACTATCGATGGTTTCAGACTTTTTTCTTTCATAAATACTTTTTTGTGATATGAACATACTTCGCAAAAATTAAATTTGACAAAAAAAATTTAAGTACATAAAATTTCAAATCGTGCTAAATGGAATAAAATCGTGTAAAAAATTTAAAAATATTAAATTTTCAAACCGTGTTATATCAAAACCGTGTACAAAAAGACCGTGTAAAAACAGACTTAGGTGTATATTTGTTATCTGTGATATTAATTATTGATAGATTGTTTATTAATAATTAATTTTATCGATAATAATTTGTTTTGTATATTACAGTCTACCTGTTTAAATGTCTATTTTTGTATATATCTACCTGAATATTTTTCTATTCGGGGATTTGTCCGATTTTGCTTCACAAGCGACTTCTATAATTTCAGAAGTGCCAAATTTATTGATTTGACTTTCATTAATTGATTCTTGTTCGATATGATATTAATTTATTCTTCATCTGATGAATTATTTCTTGATGAGTTGGATGAAAATCTGACTTGAAGTGTTTTGCGAATAATTGAACTTTTTCTTATAGGAGGTAATTTTCTCGTAAACTTTTTACAGACTGAATGGCCTGCAACATCTAAACTTGTACTGTAATTGTGTATTAAATTATCCCTGTGTTCGTAAGCATATTTTTAAGCCATCTTGTTTTTTGATTCAGTTTTGTTTTATTTGCTGGAGCTCTGGAATTTTTATGTTTTGAAGATAAACTTCTGGTTTTGTGAGCGACATATTTTGGAACATTTAGTTTTAGATAATAAATTGCACCATTTAGGTTGTTTTCAGTTTTGAGATGTAAATTGCAGTTTGGGGTTGCATCCAACTCGATTTAAAATTTGTTCCAGTTCTATGCTTGTTTGCTATAAGTAATGATGATAGGAGAATGATCTGGGCTCAGGTCTAAGCGGCCTAGTACAGTAAAAAAAACATTACTGAAATTTTTTATCGTGCCAAAGTCTAAAACGTAAGGAATTTTTGATGGTTTTCTAGGCCAGTATGTATATGTAGGCTCGCTGGTTGAGAAATGCAAACTGACGTTAAAATGAATTGATTTGACTTGAATTTGATTTTGAGCTTTGCTTCTTGGAGAATGCATGGAGTATGTTTTGCGCTGAAATCTCCTGCAGCAGTAAATCTAGTTCCAGACAATTCGAGGATTTTATCAAGACTTTTAAATGACATTAGTTGCTTAGATAAAATTTTTGTTTAAGGCTAATAATCGCACTACCGCTGTGGACAAATCTGTCCGTCAGTGAATGCTGATTAAGCTGCTTGACGTATTATTATTGTAGATTTGTCCTAGTGTTTATAGTTCGGTTTCTGTATCATCGATATCTGTACTGTAATGCAGGTTTCTTACTACAACTACATATAAATATGCACCCGCAAAAATTGCTCACTCACACAACATATGACTACTCTGGATTGTTTGGATTAGCACAAATCTAAATAATATTATTAAAGCGATCCCACCTGTTTGGCAGTTGACGACAGAATGACTTAAACGAAAATATAATGATATAAAATTCAATTTTTCTTGTTTTTTTAAGATTTAAGTGAAAAAACTATTGGTTGTAAAATGTTAACTAAAAGATTGATCAATCGATTTCGTTGGTATCGACAACTAAAATTTGCACAAATTCTTCACAGCTGTATTCTAATTGATTAAGAGTGTAAAATTTTCAAAAAATCGAATTTTCAATAACATACCAATATTTTAAATCGATATCTTAAATAGTTTTTTTTCGAATTTGCTGCAGCGATTACTCAAAAACAAATGATCCGATCACTATCATTTTTTTTTACATGTTCTATATATAGTTCTCCGTAAAATGAACTATCGATTTTTTGATTGGATCAAAAATCGAATTTTGGCAGTCCAAAAACAACCAAAATTTTGGGTAAAATACGACTTTTTTTTAAAAAACGCCGTCATTTTGTCAATTTTTGTTTTTTTTCTTTATAGTAGTTCATTTTACAGACAGTATCATCTAGTTTAACGAGATTTTTTTTTAATTTCATCCACGTAGAAGGCCGAAATCACTGCAGCAGTGAAGGGCCTTTTTTTGTCGCGCCGTTGGAGATCCACGATAACTTAAAAAATATTAATTTTTTTTTTCAAAAATTTTACTATGTATTCTTAAAACATGTATAAATATATTCCTACAATTTTGAAATGATTGATAAAGTAGTTTTTTCAATATAAATTCCCAAAAATCACTTTTTTAGGCGGGTACACTAGTTGTGCCCCTTAAACTCGTGCATTTTTACTTACATATTTATAGTTTACCTTCCTTGTTTAATTTTTTCACTCGTTTAGTAATTAAATTCAATAAGGTATATTACATTAGGGTTGATAAATAGCTTATTGTAGATTAGTATTAATGATACTCTTTATAATAATAATGAATATATGTATACAACTTTTATGAAACTAGATAAAAATTTATTTGAAAAATTCAATTACGTTACAAATTTAAAAGTATACCATAAAATTAATGGAGCTTCAGCAAATTAATTTCAAAAATTATTACAAAAATCCAAAACATTAGTTTATCATTACATTTACAAAATTGTTGCAAAATCAATCTTGATTGATATTGGAGGAGTTTATGATTGAGCATTCATAGTAGTTACCATTATTATTTACGCTAATATATATTGTATATTCAAATGACCACGTACCACATCATATAGTCTGTATATGAAAATGACTTAAAATAATTGACGTCTTTACTTGCAACAACTATCTTGCTGCTTCTGCTCGCAGCTCATGGGACAAGCAAGTTGGTAGAGAAATTGTAATATAGTTCGAGTTGGGCGCCCCGTCATTTGTCCGACTCTGTAAAATGGATGCGATGGGCTCTTCGTGGGCAGCGCAATGCCCGTAATGTCCATATGCATCCAATCGCAACAGGGGACAAACTCCTTCAAGAATGCGGCTGCAAGGCACGGTTCGCCTGCAATTTGATAATATATCAATTATAATCAGGGCCGAATTTAGAAATTTGGCGCCCTGGGGCACTGATAAAAATGCCGCCCCATCCCAGGATTTTTACTTAAATAGTTTTTATATAAAAATTTATTTTAAACTCATTACGCATTACATACTATAAATAGTGGTGCTTGGCATCGCGCCTTAATAAAGGCAAATTGCTGAAACTTTCCATACCGAAAATTAAAATTAAAAAAAAAAGTTAAAATATTTAAAACTTTGAAAAAATTTAACTTTTTTGAAAAATTTAATGTTTTTTCATATTTTTTTCAAAGTGTTCGCGCTGCTTTGGCTGCGTAGAGTCAAAATATAGAAGCGCGTAACATAACAAAAGGTTTTTTAAATTCAATTTTTTTTCATTTTTCAAAAAAATTTAAAGCTCTTTATAAAATGTAATTTTTCGGAAAGTTGCGGTAACTTGCCTTAAGGCGCAATGCCATGCGTCACTAGTTTAATTTTTTTAGGGCGCTATAAGCTTAGAAGTGCACAAATTTGTAATCTTAAGAGTGCTCGAGATCTGAAGAACATAATTTTCTTCAACTTTCAGCTCGTTTACGAATTTTTTATTAGCACAATTGCCAAATTTTGCATTGCAAACGTATTATGTTTTGTTAATTATATTTCTTGAATAAGAAATGTTATTAAGAAAATGACTTAATTATATTGTATATAATTATTTTTTCACTATCCAAATTTTGCCGCCCCCGAAAATTTGCCGCCCTGGGCAGTAGCCCCGACTGCCCCTACTGTAAATCCAGCACTGATTATAATAGAAATTGAGGATAGCGATATTTTTGATGACGATATTTTTATTAACTTCCCGAAGAAGAAGTTTATGTTTTCATAAAAAAATCCGAATTGCTAATTTTATGTTTTCTCGACGTTTCAAGCCATTCTGAATCGAATGAGACCAAATTTAAAGAAAAAGTATGTGTGTGTGTGTGTGTGACCAGATTTTTTGCCGTAAATCGGCGTTTTCTCTAAAACGGCTAGACCGATTTCAAAAATTTGAAAACCATTCGATGTATCTAGATGAGGACTAGCGTTTCTAATTTTGTGCGACATATGACTAGTCTGGATTGTTTGGATTAGCACAAATCTAAATAATATTAATAGAGCGATTTCACCTGTTTGGCAGTTGACGACAGAATGACTTAAACGAAAATATAATGATATGAAAGTCAATTTTTCTTGTTTTTTAAGGTTTAAGTGAAAAAACTATTGGTGATAAATTGTTAAGTAAAAGATTGATCAATCGTTTTCTTTGGTATTGACAACTAAAATTTTCACAGCTATATTCTAATTGATTAAGGGGCACAACTAGTGTGAAATTTAAAAAAAATCGAATTTTCAATTTTTCCATATTTCGATAGGTTATACCTTTAAAAATAACATACCAAAATTTCAAATAGATATCTCAAATAGTTTTTGAGTCACAGCCATTTAAACAGTATATATATATAGTGTATACTGTATAATATAACGATCATTTAATCTTTAAACGCGTTTTTCTCGAAACAGCATTTTCCGAATTTGCTGCAGCGATTACTCAAAAACAAATAATCCGATAACTATCAATTTTAATTTAACTTGAAAAAGTATGTGTGTGTGTGTGTGTGTGAACAGATTTTTTTCCGTAAATCGGCGTTTTCTCTAAAACGGCTAGACCGATTTCAAAAATTTGAAAACTATTCGATGTATCTAGATGAGGACTAGCGTTTCTAATTTTGTGCGACGATCGGCCGAACCGTTTCTTTGTAAATCGCAAAAAAGTGAAAAAAAATTCATCCACGTTTTAGCCCGCAATTCTAAGATAAGATAATATAATAAGATATTAATTTTTAGTTAGATTCAACAGATTTCATTATATACCCTCTATAAAAGCTTACATATGAATGTGATAACAAGGGTCATATAAAACTTTACCCTGGAAATTAATATTATATCAATATTGATTATTTTTATTCTTCGAATGTTTAGTTGCTGTACGGAAAATTCTAGCAATTTGCGTTATGCTACAATACCATGCACCACTTCTTTAAATAACAAGATTTGGATATTGATCTACCTTGAAAGCGAAGCACGCGAAAAATGCGCGCGCATTGAATTAAAACTAGTGGTGTATGGCATCGTGCCTTAAGGCAAATTGCTGGTACTTCCCATACCGTAATAAAATTTCGAGAAATATTCGAGAAATTTTAAACGTTTTCAAATATATTATTACAAATACTGTAACTTTCGTTATTTTTGCTATCTTGTTATATCTGAGAAACTCAAATGTAAATCATAAATCAATTTATCTCCAGAACATTAACAATCGTCATTTCATTTCGAATTCAATTTCAAAAAAAAAGCCTAATTTACACAAAATTGAAAAAGTGCTCCCGTATAGTCACAGTCTAAACGCATTTGCAAATAATTCTGTGCGACATTTTCACTTATACTGTGCTTAGATTGGCGGCATTTTCACATTTTTTAAAAGTTTTCACAAAATTAGAAAAGTGCTTCAGTACATAAACAGTCTAAACGCACTTGGGTAAATATTTGCACCAGAGTGGCGCTCAGACTGTGCTTAGCCTGGGCAATTTTTTGAATTTTTAATCCAAAATTACAAAAATATTTTTTGAAAAAAAAAATTAGAAACAAAAATTTTTTTTCCAAAAGCAATTATTTAGTTGGAACAAGCAGAAAGTTCTTTGAATCATTTAAATCGGACGCTTAGTTCTCTCAAAAACTGCAATTTTTTTTACATTTAGCTCTTTATCTCCGAAACCGCTGGGCCTATCTTTGACAAAAACTAATAAACACTTTTCCCCGTCATTACGAACTGAATGTTTTCTATTTTCTGCACTCTTTGCTCCATATCTCTGTAATGGCTGGACCTGCCTTTGCCAAAAACCAATCTCCTTAGCACATCTCCCTATTAATAGGAATCGAATGTTTTTTAAACCATTCAAATCGGTTGATCCTTGCGCCCGAAAACGTGGACGAAAAAATGCGGACATACAAAATACACACACACACATCCATTTTTTCTGAGGTATGCTAAAATGTTCAGAAACCTTCAAAACGTCGGGAAATGCAAATATTTTCATTTTCGAATTTCAGCCCATTACTATAACTACCCTACGGGAAGTTAAAAATCCGTCATGAAGCACCACAATTTTTTGCTCTCTTGGCATGATTTACTCTATAGAATAAATCGCATAAAATCGAAATTTTTAAATGTCCTAAAAAGTTTGTATTGAAAAAAATTTAAAAAAATAGCTGAGAACCTCAGGATCTCTGAGTTGTCTGATATGTAGTGGAGCCTTTACAGATTCAAGTGTAGAAGATTGAGTGAAATATAAAGTTATTATTGTCGGCTTTTACTTTCCCCTTGGGAGCACAAAACAACCAATTTGATTGATTGAAAAAACATTCGATTTCTCTTAATCAGGCAGATCTTTTGATGGTTCCGGGAAATAATTGCCAAAAATAATAATTCTTTTTCTAAGAGAACAGAGCGTCAGATTTGAATGATTCAAAGAAGATTTTACTTGTATTGATATAATTGACTAAATATTCTAGTATTAAAAAAATGAATTAAATATTTAATAATTTAAGTTAATACGATTTAAATTAATGTTCTCTACATGGATCAATTGTGTACATGAAAATGTACAGCAAAAACAGTCGCGATTTCATTGTTTTTTGTTGTGGTGTTCATCTTTTTCTGTCATCATCATATCAATAACACAGCTATCTTTCGTATTACGCTAACAAGGCTAAATTGACCCGATATCGTATGAATAGTGCCTGAAGGCGAAAAATTCTTAAATTTTTGTGATTGGCAAGTTGTTACGATACATACCTCCTTCTTGATCGCCCTTATTGCTTAGATCAGCAGAATTGTAGGCCATCACAGATTTTCGATAGTGCTCCCACAGCGGAAACCTCCACACACGGTCACCAGTTATAGCGCCAGCTTTCTGCATCTGTTTCCAAGCCTAAAAAACAGTAATGTAAATATTGTGTAACTTTTCAAATAAGAATCATAATATATTTTAATTATAAAACAGGGGCGTAACTACCGCCGTATCAGCCGTATCAAAAATACGGGGCTCCCGAGCCAGGGCGGCCCCCAAAGAGCGCAAGCAGAAAGCAAAACATAAATTTTTCAAAAAATTGAATAATTTAGCGTAGTTTGCATTCCTTTTGTTATCGAGAGGTTTTGAACTTCAACTTGTAAGCTAACGTTTTAAGAGATTTTATTTCTGCTGCAATATTTCTGCAAGCCCTAGCAATCAATTCAATTAGTAAAGCTTTTGCACATCCAATAAGTCAATATTCTTTTGTAGATATGAACAAATATATAAAACTAATCCAGTTTATACATTCTCCATCGAAAATTGGAATTAATTAGCAATGATTAGAAGTAAACATAATATGATGGTTCATAATCTGATTTTAAAGTTGTTTGATAAATTAGTGTCGACTCATATTGAACGTGTAAATATGATACAGAATAAAAGAAGAATAATTTGTACTAGGTTCATTTATGTAAAAGATTTTTATCAAAATTATTAACTTCCCAAAGGAGAAGTTTATGTTTTCATAAAAAAATCCGATTCGCTAATTTTATGTTTTCTCGACGTTTCAAGCCATTCTAAATCAAACCGGACGAAATTTGGAAAAATATGTGTGCGTGCGTGAACAGTTTTTTTGTCGTAAATCGACGTTTTCTCAAAAACGGCTGGACCGATTTCAAAAATTTAAAAGCATTTGATGTATCTCGATGAAATGTGAACTAGCGTTTATCAATTTTGCGCGACGATAAGCCGAGCCTTTTCTTTGTAAATCGTAGAAAAGTGTAAAATATTTCGTCCACGTTTTAGCCCGCAATTCTGAATCGATTTTGAAAATTCAAAAACCGTTTGAAAAATATTGGTTGGGAATCGCGCTGATTAGTTTTTTAATAAAGATCAGCCGGGCCGTTTTCTTGTAATATGCCTTAAAATTTTTTTTCGATGAATTTTTTTGACGGTAGATACCATTGTCTTGTAGATCATACTAAAATATTACGGCGCTACGACAAGTCGTTTTATATTGAAAATTAGTCAGTTTTCAAAAATTAGTATCGTTTTTTCGGCGTTTGTCAAAATTAAAATTTTCATCGACGTTTGCTTAAAAACGCCTGAATCGATTTCACACATTTAAAAGCCAATCGATGTATTTTGATGTGGTTTATCTTTTCTCAGTTTTGTGCGACGATTGGCTGAGCCGTTTCTTTGTAAATAGCAGAAAAGTGAATAAAATTTCGTCCACGTTTGAGCTCTCAATTCTAAATCGATTTTAAAAAATCAAAAACTTTTTGAAAGATATTGGTTGGGAATGATCTAAGTAATAAATCTAAGAAATTGATTTCATTAAGGTACAATGGTAGATACAATCGGCTTGCATCCAGTTTTTGAACAAAATAACAGTATGCATTTTATTCTTGCACCTTTCAGTTACAATCGCAACTGCTATAAGAATTTTTAAAAATTAAAACTATTTAAAAATTGCGTAAAAACTTTAGGACAGAAATGTCTACTAGACCTGTATATTTCTAGAGACAGTATCTTTATAAAATATAAAGATCACTAAATAATTCAGATTTTCAATAATGATAAATTTGTGAAAAATTCAGAAAATTAGAGAAAATTTCGATAGATAAATAATTAGAATGATAAATAAATATTCCTGTAATGTTATGTATTTTTATATTTTGTAAAACATTTTTTTTTTTAAGGGGGCCCCCAAACCAATTTTGATACGGGGCCCCGCCAAGGCACGCTACGTCCCTGGGTTTAAAATAGTTGTAAACCATATAAAACCCCCTGTTGTTTATGTTGTAACAATACATTGCGCTATGCAATATGCAAATTGATTCATACCTGTTTCGAATTCGACCAAACAGCGCAGCATCCTCCACCTAACATTGTTTCTACTTCTTTTGTCATAGTGCCAACATTGAGCACAAGACGAGGTTTATATTGTTTCTGTGCCCATGTAACAGCATCCGACATGCCGAGTCGACCTTCGAAATCGGTATCGTGCACTAGGATTGAATTACCACTCATAGATCTTATACCATCTCCTGGTTTCATGGCCATGCCACTGATCATATTTTCACACAAAGGTAAATATCCATAGATGTTTATGGGTAGCGACAGTTGGGCAGCTCCCTGTAATCCATAAAGATAAGTTGCCTTGAGACAAATTGCAGGAACAGTCATTAAATATTCAATAATCAATGAATATTGATCAATGATTAATAACAAGTGTATTAAATATTTTTAAATAGATAATTATGAAAACTAATTATTTTATCGTTCATATATTAAACAGCGGTGACCTTACCGCACAAAACACTTTATATTTAACTTCCTGTAGGGTAGTTATAGTAATGGGCCGGAAATCGAAAATGAAAATTTTTGCATTTTTCGACGTTTTGAAGGTTTCTGAACATTTTACTGGCATACCTCAGAAAAAGTGGATGTGTGTGTGTTTTGTATGTCCGCATTTTTTCGTCCACGTTTTCGGGCGCACGGATCAACCGATTTGAATGGTTTAAAAAACATTTGATTCCTCTTGATAGGGAGATGTGCTGATTAGTTTTTGGCAAAGGCAGGTCTGGCCTTTAGATTTTTGAGAGAACGGAGTATCGAATTTAAATGATATAAAAAACCTTCAATTTGCAATGATTGGGAGAAGAGGTGATTAGTTTTTGGCAAAGACAGGTCTCGCCATTTCGAAGATACAAGGCTAAATGTGCAAAAAATGGCAGTTGTTGTATGAACTAAGCGTCCGATTTGAATGATCTAAAAAACTTTCTGCTTGTATTAACAAAACAATCGCTTTTGAGGATAATAAAATATTACATCTTTTATTATTTTTCATAAAATATTTTTGTAATTTTGGATTAAAAATTCAAAATATTGTCCAGGCTAAGCACAGTCTAAGCGCCACTCTGGTGCAAATGTTTACCCAAGTGCGTTTAGACTGTTAATGTACTTGAGCACTTGTCCAATTTTGTGAAAACTATTGAAAAATGTGAAAATGCCGCCAAGATAAGCACAGTATAAGTGAAAATGTCGCACAAAATTATTTGCAAATACGTCTAGACTGTGACTATACGGGAGCACTTTTTCAATTTTGTGTAAATTAGGCAACTATTTTTTTTTGAAATTGAATTGGAAATGAAATGACGATTGTTATTGTTCTGGAGACAAGTTGATTTATGATTTACATTTGATTTGCTCAGATATAACAAGATAGCAAAAATAATGAAAGTTACAGAATTTGTAATAATATATTTGAAAACGTTTAAAATTTCTCGAAACGTTTAAAGTTTCATTACGGTACGGGGAGTTCCAGCAATTTGCCTTAAGGCACGATGCCATACACCACTAGTTACATTTTAACTTATTAATTCTAATTTTAAGTTTACATTTAAAAGATATGTCGAATGAATATGTCAGAGGAACGAATCCTTTCTCATATTCCTTAAAATAACGCAGATGAAAATATACAGTTTTAAATTGAATTGTAAATTTTTTTTTTCAATTTAAAATATAAAATTTTGTATATTTTTGTTTTTATAAAATCTCGATCATTATTTTAATTTTTTTTAATTACATAAACTTAAAAATTTTGAAAATGTTTCATTTTTTTGAATTTTTTGAAAATTTTGTAATTTTTTTTAATTTTTGAAATTTTCTGAAATTCCTAAAAAATTACGAGAATTTGAAAGAAAAATTGAAAATTAGATTTTTTTGGAAATCTTGATAATTTTTAAACTGTTGGATCTTCCTTACCCAAAAACTAATAATTGCTACACTTGTCTTTTGCAAAAACTAACCAGTACCGAATGTTTTTTGAATAATTCAATTTGTTTCATCCATACTGTCGTATCTGCAAAACCTGCCCTTCTCAAAAATTTAATCAGTTTTTTATTTTGTTAGTACAAGTAATGTGTTTTTTGAATTATTGAAACCAGACTCTACGTTATATCAAAACTTAGTTCCCGTATCTTCGAAAAGAATGGATCCACCTTTGCCAAAAACTAAACAGCACGTTTACTTATGTATGAAAATCGAATGTTTTTTTAATCTTTTAAATCGATTTATCCTTGCGCCCGAAATCGTGGATTAAGAATTGTATCCAAACATACACATGCATCCATTTTTTCTAGGAAAGTTAAATATTCAAAACAATTATCAATCTTATAATTTTCCTAGCACATTAATATCTATTATGATTTGCCTCGGAGACCATAGCAATTACATGTTTCTATTTATAAAAATAAATCATGATTATGGATTTATTAGTTGTATCAATGTTATAACGGCTAGACTTTCGCCAAAAACTAATCAGCACGTCTCCTTATCAATACAAATCGGATGTTTTTTTAATGATTCAAATCGGTTGATCGTGGTTCCCGAAATCGTCGACAAAAATTTATATCCGCACACCTATACACATACACACACATACATCAATTTTTTCTCAGGTGTGCCAAAATAAAAGTGATATTTAATACTAAAGTTAATTGCGAAGCTTCATGTGAGTTTTATACAAGGATTTAAAAGCGGAAAAATCATAAATATGACGTGAGTTTTTTAGTTTGACACCAAATCAGCTATGTTTCAAAAAAAATTCAAATTTTCAAAAAAATCAAATATTAAAAAAGTTGTTTTTAGTAAGTTAGTTTTGGGTACAGAAAGTTCCAGCAATTTGCCTTAAGGCACGATGCCATGCATCACTAATTTCATAATTGTTATTGTAATTAACTCTTTGATACGTAAATGATCGCAGCCCACACGATATATCTGGAATTTTCAAATTTTGATGCGGTCTATACGAGTAAACGACGATTTTCGGTGCGTTTTCAAAGAGTTAAAAAATCTAATTCATTATTTGAATAGTGAATAGTGATTTATTCCACGCATGATTATAGTGAATTCAAAACTAAATCATTATTAATATCTTCTTATATATAAAAATGAATCGCAAAATGTGTTGGTAAGCGCATAACTCAACAACGCCTGAACCAATTTAGCCAATTCTTTTTTTAAAATGTTCGTTGAAGTCCAAGGATGGTTCTTACGGCGAGAAAAGATCGAATAATTGCCGGAAAACCCCTAAAAACAGATTTTTTCTTTTTCACATACAAACGTTTTCTAACTAAAACGTAGAATCTATTTGAACGTTAAAATTCTTCTGCAATGATGTATGAAAGGTAATCCTACCGAACGATTATTCATATTTTAAAAAATCTTTCTGAAGTTTGTTATGGGATTTTTTTAGCATTTTTTGAAATATAGAAATATAGTTAGATTGTAGAAATAAATGGAAAAAATTATAAAAAAACGTTGATCATTCATTGGCATTGAAAATATTTGAGGCATTGTTTGGCATTAAGAAGACAGTCATTTGCCATTACCTTTAAAATAGTATATTACAAGTTCTGATGAAGTCAGAATTAAAAGAGTTGTAATCCAATCAATGCGGGGGGTGGCGACGGAATGCAAATTGTTTTCACTTCTGAATATCATGCAAATTGGAGCACAGTAAAAAAAATCACAGGGCACACGCTTTTTCCTCTCCATATTTTTTTTGATTGTAGGTTGAATAGAGCACATGAGAACAGGATTTGACAAATTAATTCACTTCAAATATAAGCTTAAGTAATAATGTATATTGAATTATTTGTGGGAAAATGTAATTTAGATACTAAAATCACTAAAAGCGATTTAAAACATGGTACGAAATTATAAAAATTATAGGCAACATTATTGAAGACATTATTTTGGGTAGAAAATTTCCAGGTGATATTGTACTTTTACCGCAAATGCTATATATTAATTCTTTCTGAATTTGTTATACCTTTTAAAAGAGTTCTTATGCTATTACCACTAATACATCACAAAGACAGACGATGATTTTTTGTGTGAAAAATTTGGAAAATCAATGTTTTAGTAAATAAACAATAAATCATTTATTTATACATCCACATCTACAGGTGTAACTAAAAATATTGGATAACCTTTGGCATTAAAATGAGCTATTGGAAATAAATTTGTTCAATAAATTGCAGTGTATATTATTATTATACAGTTTTATTGAATATATTTTAATATTTGTTAAAGGGATAATTAAAGTGTTAACTATGGGAATTGATAGTCATCAATTCCCATCTCTCATACAAGTAATTCAAAAAACAAAAATTATTAATTTTAACTGAACGGTAAATATTAGTATAGGATATGAAAAAAATGTAGATGTGGGTACAGGACAACGTCTGTCGGGTCATCTAGTTATTCGGTATTATTAATAACACACTACTTTACCTTTATTGCGCCAACAATGGCAGCTGCTCCAGCCATGTCTGCACGATGCTCGTCGATAATTGTCCTATTTGATTCCTTTTTCAAATGAAGACCGCCGGTATCAAAAGTCGTGCCTTTTCCAACCAATATTATTGGTTTATCAAATTGAGGTGCTCCACAATACATCACTTCCACCATGACAGGTGGTTCACAACTAGATTTTCCAACCATTAAAAAGGCGTCAAACTTTCTAGATTCCATCCATTCTTTTGTTCTGACATCAACCATTATCGCGCAATTGCACACTTCATCAACTACAGCTTGAGCAAAAGCTGTCGGCGTCATCACATTACCAGGCGCCTCGCACAATCGCCTCGCCAAATTTTGATTTTGACCAAATATCAAACCTCTCTTCCAGCCTATAAAAAACATGCAAGTTTTTAGAAGATGCGAATTCTGGACACAATTATTCCACATTAATACACAGGATGAATCGCATGTTCTCTATGATTTCGAGTTAAGGAGCACACATCTAGTGTGAAATTTTCAAAAAATCGAGTTTTCAATTTTTTCATATTTCGATAGGTTATACCTTTAACAATAACATATCAAAATTATAAATCGATATCCTAAATAGTTTTTGAGTCACAGCCATTTAAAGAGTATATATGTGCCCATAATTATGAAAGTGGTCTAAGTCAAAATTTAAAAAAAATGAGTTTATAAGTTATTTTATACCACATTAGTTTAAACTGAATGTATTCAATGTAATTTTTAACTTCCCGTAGGGCAAGTTATAGTAATCGCAAAAAAATCGAAAATGAAAATTTTTATATATCTTTACGTTTCAAAGGTTTCTGAACATTTTGGCATACCTTAGAAAAAATGGATGTATGTGTGTGTGTGTGTGTGTGTGTGTATGTATGTATGTATGTATGTATGTATGTATGTATGTATGTATGTGCGTGTGTGTATGTATGTGCGGATACAAATTTTCGTCGACGATTTCGGGAACACGGATCAACCGATTTGAATAATTCAAAAAACATTCGATTCGTATTGATAAGGAGACGTGCTGATTAGTTTTTGGCGAAGGCAGGTCTAGCCGTTCCGAAGATACGGGGCAAAAAGTGCCGAAAACGGTAACTCAGTTTTTAAGAGAACGGAGCGTCCGATTTGAATAATTCAAAAAACATTTCACTTGTATTGACAAGGTGAAGAATCGATAAAATTTTCATGAAGGTAGGTCTAGCGGTTTCGGAGATATGGAGGAAAAAGTAAAAAAATGAGCCATTTGGCGGTCAAAAATGATCATTAGACATATGCACATCAAATTATCAGATATTTTATAGAGATTTTAACAATAAGTATACATTTTGTTAACATTTCTATGGGTTCCGTACAAATGCTTATGCGTTAGACAGCGACGCGGCGCTTACGCGCTTTATATTTTGTCCCTATGCAGTTAAAGCAGTACGATTGCTTTCAAAAAAATTTCAGATCTTCTACAATATGTCAAAATACAGAAAAAAAAAATTTTTTTCAAAAAAAAAATGTTTTTTTAAAAAAAAATTTTTTTTTTCAAAGAAAAGTTATTTTTTGTCCAATTTATAGTTTCTCAAAAATCTTATTCTTTCAAAGTAATTTTTTTTCAAAAATGTTAATTGTTTTTAAAAAAATAATAATTTTTGGTACGGGAAGTTCCAGCAATTTGCCTTAAGGCACGATGCCTTAATTGCCTTAAGACAGAATTCCACTTACAGCTAGTTACGAAATTGTCAAAAATGAACCATTAGATCAAGGATGAGCAACCCGCGGCCCGCCGGATGTTTTTCTGCGGCCCGCCAAGCATTTCTCAACAGATTATTTTTCTAGATATTTTATCAAATACGGCTGTAAAGGCTAATTTTGTCTTCAGCCAAATTCTGGTAAAAGCTGTTGTTCGAAGAAATAGCATTTCCTAATAAAATAAATATTAATTAATTTAAATATTAGTTTGACAAGCTTCAATGTTGCAAGAAAAATTGAAAACTTGTCCGAGGACATAGCAACAACGCATTTCTAAAATTAAAATAATTAAATAAGTAAATCTTATAAAGTCGCGAGGATTAAATCATTGCAAATTTAAAGACTTCCTGACAATTTAGATCGTGAATATGGCGATTTTCAGTACTAAAGTACGTTAGCTCAATAGTGATGTAATGCTTAAAGGAGTATACGACTCAAATGGCGAATTACAATTGTTTTAGGATGTGAAATAATATTTATAGTCATTTCGTCATTTTTGTAATAAAGAATAATATCTTTTGCAGAATCTTGTGTTTCACTTTTCACATTCAAAAAAGGAAAATGTAAACAAATTTTAATTGTGATTCCAAATGTTCAAAGCTAACAAGACAGCTGTTTTTATCTAATTGTTTTCTTCGCTATTTAACATGCAAAATAATACAGATTTAAAAAATTTATTTTTCAGTAACCATCGAATTTTTTTATAAATCTTAAATCTAAAATCGCTTTTGAAAAAAAAAACGCAAATCAATTTATGATAAATTCTCTTTTTGGAAGTACGTATATGCGCGAATAATTACACATTAATAATAATTAATCCATTCAGAAAAAAATCTAGATCGAAGATTATGCCAGTTTTTAAATGTTTAAATCTTTTAATTATTATTATTTCACTTAATCCTAATCAGATGCGATACATATATACTTTTGTTTACAATTCTTACAATTCTCTGTTTCTACACTTATAAGCTTTGGTGTATTTTAGACCTATATAATAAGAAATGTGAAGTTGACAGTATATATTTATAATAATCTATTTGAAAATGCACGAAATTACTATTAATCATAAAATAAGTGAAAATCTGGCGCAAAATTCTTGCTCGCCAGAAATCCTGTTACGACAGATATCATGTTACAAGGAATACTGGCGTCGTGTGCACCGGGCTTTGTACTAATGATTTTCTAAAAATATTTTCTGTAGCTAAACGTTTGCCGGGTCAGCTAGTATATATATAAATTACGTGCGGCCCGCATTAAAATTTGAAAATTTAAATTAGCCCGTGGGTTAAAAAGGTTGCTCGCCCTTGCATTAGATAGTGGTTGTAATTTCAACATTATATGGAATTCATTTAGTGTTAATTATGAAAGTGGTCTATGTCAAAAATTTAAAGAAATTATATAAACATCTTGGAAATGGCACGTGGCCTTCTTTGACGCGTTTCTGAACTACATAATAAAATAAATGACAATCAAATTTTAATAATAACGACAATTTCATTCCGGTTTATCTAACCATATAATTCAGTTTGGCGCTTCGGAATTAATAAAATTACTGGTAGCATATAATTTATATATTTTAACACTATGTCAACAGATAACGGTTCAGGTAAGTTAATAATAACGTACATATTGTGAATATATTAATTATTATTCAAATAAGATGTGATCTGCAGATATTATACGTCCACGTAATACTTCCAAGAAATGGAAAAGAGTAAGGCAGTTATCATCTTCAGATGAATCATAAGAAGATTTCTTTGTAAATTTAGAAACCCCAGAAATGGTGCAGAGAGAAAAAGATAAGACAAAAAACGGGCAAAAAATGAAGGTAGTTACGCACAAAATATTAGAATAATTAAGAGAAATAATGGCAAAGAATACACGACAAAAAAATCAAAACTTGTAAGTGCTAAAATTTTTGATAATAAGGATTGCTTTTGCTCAAAAAAATGTTTAGATCGCGTAGAATATAATGAAAGAAAATTCAATTTTGATACTTTCTGGAAACTAAAAGATTTAATAATAATATTGAAACGGTAGACCACAAATTTTTGATATCAGGTCATTCCTTTCTACCAAATGATCGTAATTTTGGGTTGATAGAAATAAAAATAAAAAAAGAAAATTACTTATACAACCCTGAGCATTATTATGAATTGATAGAAAAGTGCAGAAGAAGCAATAAATTTTCGATAAAGCGAATATCGCAGCCGGATTTCATTTCAACGAAATCATTAGAAGATACAATAACAAGAATAGTAAAAAATACCGCGGGCGAATCTGTCTCTGGGCTACAAATTCAATGGATGAGATTCTTGAAAAATGAACCTTATAAAATGTTTTATAAAAACTTCTTTGGATGATTCTACATTTCACAGTTTTGGATCTTTCACCTAAAAGAGGAAGACCAAAAATATACGGAATATTAAATTACTTCCATTCTACACCAGCATTAGACCAGTATCGGAAGAAAAACTTAAAGATATTATGAGTTTACTACCGTACATTCCTCCAGTTTTTCAGGAACATTTTAAGAATCTTAAATACTCGAATAATGATAAAAATGGATTACCGTTTAAAATAATAATAAATGCTCACGAATTATTCCAATAAAATTATTGTTTCAAATAAAACTCAAAGTTCTTTATTGCTTTAAGTCATTTAAATGGCATTCAGTTAATTTTGAAAATGGTCAAAGCCAATTCAAACTTTAAAAACAATATTATCGTATGAAATTCACACAAAACTTCATATTCATAATAAATTTCCATTAATTAAGACTAATAAAATTGAAAAAATTAAAATGTCGCATAATGTAAAAATATTTTTTAATTTATTCAAATGCAATTCATTAAATATCTTGAAACAAGAAATATATGACTTAGACCGCTTTCATAATTATGGGCATATATGTATGTATGTATGCAGGGCCGGTCCTGCCTTGCATGCGATGCATGCAAAAAATGCGGGCGCAAGCCTTAGGGGGGCGCCAAAACGAGTTTCGGAAATTGAATTTATGATATAATATTTATATTTTTTATAAAGCTGGAATTATTTATATAAAATCTAGAATACTTA